GTGATCCTGACAATAACAGCGGGGGAAAAAAAAAAAAAAAAAAAAAAAAAATCAAACCACATACGCACGCTTAATTTTTTTACAGGTTGAATCAACGATGTACCACACAAATACTGGTTTTCCATTTTGTAGTCTTTAAATCTCAATATTAATTCTTTAAAATATTTAGAACACTGGCAACCTGGAATCAATAAAGACTACTAGACTACCAAAGCTGTTCAAAAAAATAAGTGTCTGAGAGTTACACATTGTGATGTTAAAGCAGCAGTAACGATTACAAGTGCCATGTGCCTGTTCAAAACCACACATTACCATATTCAATCTGTACAATTACTAGGAATGCAACATCCGTCTTCACTGCTACAATCCCAGTGTCCACACAAGCGCCTAGTGTCTATGTATCTACGCGTACTATTTATCGTAACAAATAACTATCTCACAAACCCACAAAAAAGCTTGCTCAGAGAGCACAAGAACTGTGAACCAAAACGTTTCTGCTTAAAGTTCTCTCTTAACCATTGCCATATTGCCTCTCTAGAGCTTTTAAATCATTACAATGGTGTCACAGCAGCTGGTATCACCTGTAAAAGAAAAAGAATCAATGAGACCTTCCTTCAAAGTGTTTTTTGTTCTAAAAGCAAAGGATAAAAAGCAAAGGATCTAAGACTATTTTACACTATAATATCCTGAATTTCCCACAGGTAAAAGGTTCTGATATATACACCGAAATAGATGTCTCTGTATTAAGCACGCTGCATATACAACTATGTTCAATGTGACACCCTCAAAGTGGTCACAGAAAAGTTAGGACTCAGAATTCTATCTTTTAAGCCTTCAACTCTTAAGTGTTTCTTCCTCTCCTTTGCTTGCATCTCAAAAATACAGATTCCAGTTATTTTCATAAACCCACCATGAACAATATTTATCCTTCATAAAACACAAGTTTTGACACTTAAACTCCAAAGCCATATTTAATAATTCCAAGTTAAGCAGTATCAGGTCTGTCTCAATAAAGCCAATTCCTTCCATATGTATCTTTTAAAAAGTATCCTCGAAGTCTCTAGGTCTCTCAATTTCCCGTAAGGCTGAATCTGTTCCCTGACATTTTTTTCAAGTTAACTGTAAATACTCCACCCTACTCGATTGTGCAAGAACCAAATACACCACAAATACACAAGACATTGAAAAAGCAAAAACACCCGAGTTCGAATTCTGATGGAGTCCTGGGCGGAAGGGATGCCCAAGCAGTGCCCGAGGCGGGACATAAAAGTTACCCCTTGACAAAGAATAGACCCCACATTATTAGGAACGGAGACGCCGGAAAGGGCCTGAGCCGGCGACAGCCGGCGCCATCTTAAGATGCGGGACAGAAGTTGGAGCAGAATCGAGCCTGAACCGGGCGGGGACCCTCGGTCCCGGCCGGGCCGACCTGGCCACCGGGCC